CCAACTCTTCACAGTGTGAACATCATTTATTGGACATTGTGTTTGATTTAAATTAAATTCATAATCCCAAAGTATAATCTAAATTTTAAATTTCTTATCATCCAAAAGTATTCGGGATAAGTGCCTTGAAGAGTACCAAATTTTAACCAACCCCTATTTTATTTATTATATATGGTACAAAGGTGAAGACAGAGATTCCAAATTTGGTAACCATCATCCATCTTGTTTAAATAACTAAGGACAAATTTAATCTTCATTGGTTATTTAATCTGCATAGCCTAATAGGCCCAATTAATTTAATTCATACATTTCATTCATTTCATTCAAGATATACATATTTCAAATTGAACTTTTATTCAAAATTTAATCTTCAAATCTTATTTTATTTCATTAAATTCAGTGAAACCATTTGGAATCATTCTTTGGACATTAACATATCATATTATAGCCTAGCATCATGAACCTAGCCTATTTCAGAAATAATTAAATTATTTGCATTTTAAAAAAGCCTTAATATATCATTCGAACCGGCACGACCACCCCTGCCTGAGATTAAGAGCTCATATATTTAAATATTAATTAGTACTTCAGAAGAACCAACCCAATATAAATACTACTATAGCCTAGAATCTTGTATCCACTTTGGAAGCCCCACCATTTTGAAAATTTACCATTGTTAGGCCCTATAGTTAATTCAACCCATAACTTATATTTGTATTTCACTAACTAGCTGGCCCGACAGACGTCGTCCTGTCCTATTGTGGTTTTATGTCACATGCTCGTTCATTTTCAAGATGAGCTCGTTCGCATGGCTCAATCACGTCCTGGTTGAAGTTCGTTCGCTACGCTCACTCACCTTTAGGTTGGAGCTCGTTCGCTGCGCTCACTTGCCTTCAGGTTAGCTCGTTCGCTACGCTAACTCGCCTCCAGGTAGAAGTTCGTTCGCTACGCTCACTCACCTTTTGGTTGCAAATTAACTGTTCTCATAAATTAAAAATAAATATAGTACTGCACCCTGTTGGTAAACCTATTAACTTTTTAATGCTATTGAACATCACAGAATCAAATTGTTTAGTTGCACCAGCTGTTAAGATTCTTTAATTCCATTTAAATATGAGTACTCATAAGGTTAACATGGGAAACTCCAGAGCCACTGGGGTGGAGCCCTATTGACGGATCTGCACCAAACCTCACATCCTTGAATAATGCTTAATAATGCCTGAAAGTTTCATTACAATCTGTCGAGTGGTTTTGGAGTCCATAAAGGACAAACATACAAATATACAAACATACATTGGATTTTATATATATATAGATAAATTTTATATTAAAACTTACCAAATCTATTTATTCTTAAAATAATGCATATATTATAAGATTAAGATAAAGACTTACCTCATTAGACAGAAATAAAACACAAGTTAGGAATTATCTTTATTAAGAAATGACTTTGAGTTCAATGTGGGCTAACTTAACAGCCAAAGGAATTTTGCAGGCCTAAGTTAATGAATAGTCTATAGAAAGCTTTATGGTGCGGAGCAATCAGCAATTTCATTGTTAAATTGTCTTCTAGTAAAAAAGTTTGTAAAATCTAAAATTTGCCTTGCAGCCACAATCCATAAATATGATTGCACGATTAAATATCATTCAGGCAGAAATGTTTTCTTTTAACAATACTACATTGCACATATTAGACCTACTGTTACCCTAAGTAATACTTGAATTTACAATGTAATAAATTATTTGCACAGTGTGATTCTATTATGTCCGATCTAAACAAAACATTTGGGTTGGAATTGAAGCTAGTTTTACTGACAATATAGAATGGACTAGAAGGATAAGGTAGGATACAAGTTACAGGTAGGATAATAGTTCATGAAACATTGTTGGAATACTAACTGAGTGATAATTACAGGAAAATTAAATTAAAAACTTTATTTAAGAGAATGAAAAAATGTATACCACTAACTTTCAAAATAGATTAGATATTGCTTTGAGAGGGCTCCGGTACATGTTCAAAACTCTAACATAAATATATTGTTAACATTACATTGTTAAACATACAATAATTGGTTAGATTATTGACTACATAAAATCCACATTTATATGACAAATATAGTTTTTAGGAAAGTAAGTATTTGGTAAATGATTAAATTAAATATGACTGTAACTAAATAGACAAATAATTATCCCTATATTATAAAAGTATATTCTATTACTGGTCTAAGTAGGCCTAAAAAAACGAAAACCTTTTTTTTATATAAATGAAAATATTTGTAGCCTTTCCTTACTCTAAACAAACCATTTATAAACATAGTTTTTTCACACAAAAACTGGAATTTATAAGAGAGTTTGATGTTTAGAATACGTGTCTCAGGATTAGGATAGGCAAACAGCAACTCCATTGTAAACCAAATATTTTCGAGGAATGTAATGCTACAGACAACAATATTTCTACAAACCTCACAGTGGAGTTTTCTTATTCTTAGATAAAAGGACGCCAGAAGAATAGTAATGGAAAGTCTTTGTCAGGAACAGATTAGTCTTTCCATCCAAGTTGACACATTTAATATTTCCAGTTATTATAAGTATTGCTTTAAAATAACTAAATTACATAATATACCAAGACAACGAACCAATTTAAGCACGAGGGTATGGAAAATGATCAATAGCTTTAAGCATATAAAGTTGTAGTTATATCAATATTGTGAAAATGACTGATGAAGTTATGATCGACGCTCATGTTTGACTGGACTTATGCTTAATATTTTATTAATCTGAACATCAGCTGTATTTTAATTGTATAATTTTAACAGTTGATTTATGTTTACTTTTTGTAAGTTTTCTAGAATAAAAACAATGATGAAAATGCTACATTTAAAAAAGAATAGATTTTTTTCTGTAATTTGGTTTGAACGGTCTAATTTAAACAAAAGTTGAACCGTACAATGTTTAATTGTTTCTAAGTTTGATTTGTTTCAGTAATTAATCCTTTTACAGGAATTGAGAACAATTCTAATTTTGTTTTAACCAGAAGAATTGTAAAACATGGCGACCGTGACAGGACCAGAAATTATCGAAATAAATCGACTTAAGAAACAGAGAACGGTAATTCGGAGATCGTTTACAACTCATTCGCAAAGTATCTTGGACAAATTCAATTCTAACAACCATGATTACCCTGAAATTGAAGCAAGTATGAAACTTTTAGAGAAAAAGAACGACCAACTTAAGAACTCAATGATAAGCTACTGGAAAAACTTCTGGAATCAGACTGTCCGGAAGAGCAACTCACCGAAGAACTCAGCGGATCGGATGAGTATTTAAATAAGTTCTTTCTGATAAAAGCTAAATTTGACAGTTTGACTTTGAAATCTAATGAGGATGTAGCTTCAAGTTGTAGTAAATCATGTTCAAGTAAACCGAATACCTCAAAAGCTAGAATAAAACTTCCTAAAATCGAGTTTGTTAAATTTGATGGAAATTTGAAAAATTGGCTACACTTTTGGAGCCAATTCCAAAAGATTCATTTAGACTCTGAACTTAAAGATTAAGATAAATTTCAATATCTTATTCAAGCTACTGAACCCAAATCTAGGGCTAGGGAAATAGTCATTAGTTTTCCACCTATAGCTGACAATTACCCCAAAGTAATTGAATGTCTGAAGTCCAGGTTTGGGAGAGAAGACTTACAAACGGAAATCTATGTTAGGGAACTTTTGAAAATAACTTTTCAAAACTCTATTGAAAAGATTCCCATTTCAACTTTGTATGATAGGATTGAAACTCAACTTAGAGCTTTAGATACTTTGGGGGTAACTACTGAAAAGTGTGCAGCCTTACTGTACCCCTTAGTTGAGTCATGTCTCTCTGAGGAACGTCTTAGGGCATGGCAAAGATCACTTCGTAGTTCAGGGGATAAACCTATAGATCTTAAAACTAAGTTAGAGTCCCTTGTTCTCTTTCTAAAAGGTGAAGTTGAATCAGAAGAAAGAATAAGACTAGCTATGGATGGCTTTGAATCTTGTCAGTCGGTAAGTCAGCATAGGAGCGGTTCTATTAGGAATAAATCAAATTCGACACAAAGTACGGGTAAATCAGTAGAAAGGCCAAACTTAAATTCGCCTAGTACTAATGACTCTAGAATTCCATCCGCTTCAGACTTAGTTGATGTACCGTCTTAATCAACTCTGAAATGTGTATTTTGTGAAGGTTCGCATGGTAGTCAGAATTGCTTTAGTGCTAGAAAACTCTCCTATGATGAAAAGTCAAATATTTTGAAGAAAAGGGGATTTTGCTATTTATGTTTGAAACCAAAATATCTAGCCAAATATTGCAAAGCCAAATTGCAATGCAACATTTGTGGTGAAAGACATGTCCCTTTAATGTGTAGGCAGGGAGTTAAGCAAGATGACAGTGGCAATAAAGTCTCTGAAGCCCAAGTTGAAAATTCATTATCTGCTAATACCAGATCAGAGGTCTTATTGCAAACGCTAAGTGTATGCATCAAAAGCGACGATAAGGTTAAGTTCGTGCGAGCGCTAATTGACACAGGATCGCAGCGATCCTATATATCTCAGAATCTTGCAAAAGAAATGAAGTATAAAGCCATTCGAAAAGAGAGGCTACAACATTCACTGTTCGGTGGAGTTAGTAGTGATGTTGAAGAACACACTTGTTATAGAGTCAGATTTAGTAACCCAGAGACCAACTACGCTTGCAATTTTGAAGTTCTAGATAAAATAAAAATATGCAATGCTTTACCAGTTGCGGGACTGGGGAATTGGATAAAGGAGTTACAGGAGTTAGGGGTAACAATTTCTGATACTCATTCAGGGCCTATTGATATTTTGATCGGTGCAGATGTCGCTGGAAAACTTTTAATGGATGAGCGAATAATTTTTAGTTCAGGTCTCGTTGCATTAAGAACCTTGTTATGATGGACCTTGTTAGGAAAGACTCCATCTACAGCAGTGGTATCTACAGATTCCCCTAACGTCATGTCTACTCATACAATGTTGCTGAAGGACAAACCAATCTCAAAGCTATGGGAATTAGATGTCATTGGAATTGAAGATCCGAATTCAAGGAAGAACAAGATTGAAGAAGAAGTTGAAGCTACAGAGTTTTTCAACAAATCTGTTCAGATCAATGATGACGGACGTTATGAGGTGCCTTTACTTTGGAGAGAAGGCCATCCACCCTTGCCGACCAATGTCAACATAGCGGTCAAGAGACTTGAATCGACAGTGAAAAAACTCCAGGAAAAGAAAACATATGATGTTTATGATGCCGCGTTCAAAGAATGGGAACAAGAAGGTATAATTGAAGAAGTCCCATACACCGCTGACTTTGGTAAGTTGGGACATTATTTGCCTCATCATCCCGTCTACAAGGAAAACAGTACAACAAAGGTAAGACCTGTCTTTGATGCATCCGCTAAGGAGTATAACAACCTTCATTGAATGACTGTCTCAGTAAGGGATCTAATTTGATTGAATTAATTCCTTCCATTCTGTTTCGCTTCAGATTAAAAGAAATAGGTGTCATTTCTGACATTAAGAAAGCTTTTTTGCAAATCAGTTTGTCTAAGTCCGATAGAGATTTCCTAAGATTTTTGTGGTATGATGATGATGGAAACCTCAAAATTTATAGACACAAAAGAGTAGTTTTTGGTGTGACCTGCAGTCCATTTTTACTGGCAGCTACCATTAACTATCATTTAAGTTTTTCTATAAGGGAAAATGGGTATCCCAAACCTTATGTCGAACAGCTCATGCATAGTTTTTTATGTCGACAATTGTGTAACAAGTGTGAGCCCTGAAAGTGAACTGAATGATTTCATTTCCCAAGCAACTAGTTTATTTTTAGATGGGAAATTTGAACTTAGAGGGTGGGAGTTTACTGACAAAACTATCTCACCTACTACTCAACCTGTTGCAGTATTAGGTATGCTGTGGGACAAGAGAACTGACGTGCTTAAATTTAATGTTGATTTTCTCAAATCAGTTGACTTACAAGTAGTTACAAAGCGTAAAATGCTTTCTATTACTCACAAAGTTTATGATATTGTTGGGATATCTTCCCCAGTAACACTGCTCCCTAAGATTCTATTGCAAAGGACTTGGTCCATTAAATTCAAATGGGATCAAGAGGTTTCAGATGACATAAGATGTGACTTTCTAAAATGGTTCAGAGATCTGGGATATTTAAGTGAGATTAACATCCCTCGTTTTTTCGCTGGGGAGGATGGTACTTTTAGTTTGCATATATTTTGTGACGCTAGTAAATTCGCATATGCTACTGTCGTATTTCTAAGGACTGAGGCCAATGGATCAGTCAATCTTCATTTTGTAGCAGCAAAGTCACGAGTAGCACCAGTGCAGTGAAAGACCTGTCAATCCCTTGACTGGAACTACTAGCAGCCACAATTGGAGCCAGAATTGGAAGGTCAATCTTCAATAGTCTTAATATTTCTGATTTAGAAACACATTTTTGGAGCGATTCAACCACAGTCATATCTTGGATTCAACGAGAAGACAATTGGGCTACTTTTGTTTGGAATAGATGTCAAGAAATAAGGTCATTATCTTGTAAAGACTCATGGAGGTATGTACCTGGAAACCTAAACCCCGCTGATGTAGCTAGTAGAGGATGCTCGGCTAAGGATCTAGTTGATTGTAAATGGTGGGAGGGCCCTCAGTGGCTAAGACAGCCTCCAGAAGAATGGCCAAAAGTTAAAATGATTTACAACGACGAAGAAATCCACAGTGAAAAGAAGAAAGGAATCGTATCAGTTTGTACGAATGCTGAAGATACTAAGTCAGGCTGGTATTATAAATACTTCAGCAATTTTGAAAAGATCGTGCGTATGGTAGCATGGATTAATAGATTTTATAATAATTGCCGTAGAAGTGAAAAAGTAAATGGTTCCTTAACCCTGGAAGAAATAGAAAAAGCTGAAGCCAATGTTTGGAAACTAGTCCAGAAAGAGAGTTTTTGTGGGTTGAAAGATGCTAAACTTGCAACATTATGTCCTTTTGAAGATAAGAATGGTTTTATTCGTGTAAAGTCGAAGCTTACTGACTGAAACAACCACGAAAACTTCAGGACACCAATAGTACTACCATCGAAACACCCTGTTGTGCAAATTTTAATACGCTCTAAGCGTATCAAGGCTTGTCACGCAGGAGTTCAGTATTTATTAAGCATTTTGCGTGAAGACTATTGGATATTAAGTGGGCGGAAAACAGTAAAATCGATTAGGTCAACAAGGGAAATCAAGCTGGAGAAGTTGTCATTGTGGAGACGGACGACAAAAGACGTCTAAATTGGCCTTTGGCAGTCATAAAAGAACTCATACCGGGTAGAGATGGTAAAATTCGTCTCGCAAAACTCAAGACGAATTCAGGAATAATTTTGCGGACTATCCAAAAAATTTACCCTCTTGAAATACAAAATTGTGAGAAAGAAGAGTTCCTGAAAAATGAAAAAATTAAGAACAAAACGAAGCAGGATAATAAAGTGATAGATAAGAAAACTGTGACTAGAAGTGGACGGATGGTTAAACAACCAAAACGGTTTCTCCAATAAAAACCTTGTGTTGAGGAACAAGTTACCTTACATTCCTCAAGGTGGGAGGATGTGAAAATGACTGATGAAGTTATGATCGACGCTCATATTTGACTGGACTTATGCTTAATATTTTATTAATCTGAACATCAGCTGTATTTTAATTGTATAATTCTAACAGTTGATTTATGTTTACTTTTTGTAAGTTTTCTAGAATAAAAACAATGATGAAAATGCTACATTTAAAAAAGAATAGATTTTTTCTGTAATTTAGTTCGAACGGTCTAATTTAAACAAAAGTTGAACCGTACAATGTTTAATTGTTTCTAAGTTTGATTTGTTTCAGTAATTAATCCTTTTACAGGAATTGAGAACAATTCTAATTTTGTTTTAACCAGAAGAATTGTAAAAAATATCTTAAAGTGTATACAACTTAGTTTGAATTAGAATATTGTACTTAACGTAACGCAATATGTCTGTGAAGTTGTTAACAACTTGCAACGATTAAAACCCAACCACCCGATGTTAATTATTTTTAGATGGCTTTATTTTGTGGGTATATCACACCCACAGTATGCTCATTCTACAAAATTTTAATTCTATGATAATTGAAAATTGACCCTTTCAACTATTGTTTGTACAATCAAGAATCAAGCATTAAACATCCAACCGATTATACGACAACTTGTTGACTCAAATGCGTCGTCAAATAAAACCAGTGTTTGAAAGTCAGGCCACATTTATCAACCACATATCTCCGACCAAAGTTTCTGTTGTCCTCACTCACTAGATATACAGGGTGAATCTATTAGTGTGTCCCCTATTGATTCCTGACAAACCCTTGGCCTCAAATTGAGGAAATTAAAATCGTGTTCACTAAACCAACTCCCAGAAATATTTTTTTAAGTTTTTTAAATGTTTTTTTAAATAATACTTTTAAAGTTTTTTCAATACAGGAGATACCAAAAGCAGAGGATCGTTAGTTCAAACCTCACAGTTGTCAAATACAAAATTGTTTCGTTTTATACATCACTTTAAAGCTCTTATTAGTACAAACATTTTGATGTAGGAAGGATTTGACTATTTTGATTTGTTTAGTGGTGGCTTTTATGTGAAAAGCTTGGTACTATTTCGAATACCATATTTTCCTTGAAAATGTATATATCTCTATTTTGATTAAATTTTGCATTCCTTATGAGCCAAACTTTACTTTGTTACCAATATTACAATTATATCACAAAAACAAAAATCTTTTTTTAGTTACATATACAAAACTCAATATTTGTATACAATGTTATTATAACAGCAAGATATGTTAAACAGTATATCATTTTTATGGTACTACGATTCTAAACAAATCTAAACTTCATCCTTAACTCTGTTAGTTTTCGAGTATTCAACTAAAAGTCCTCTTGACAGCGTTAAATACCTTCAAACCTGCTGTGCTGGAAGAAGAATATTGTATGATATCTCCCAAAAAGTAAGATATTTAATCAAAACGTTGTCTGCCTATAATTGAAAATTTTTATGATTTTTCACACATTCAATATTAGGCTAAGTCTAGTATATTAAATAATAGAAATCTGTTGTATGGACTTTAAAAGTTTCGGTATGAATAATTATTTTAATCTGTCATAGAGCTGCCTAAATTTATATTAACTACAATAGTATATTACGTTACTAGTCCTGAAAATAAGTGTTTACCGGACGAGTGTGGTTGTTCCCGTGCGAGACGAAGTCGAATACGGGATTACCATACGAGTCCGCTACACACATTTTGTCCACGTAACTCGTCCGAGTTACGTACGATAGTTTACGCCATACTACTAAATCTGTACAAATCCTTATATATTTCCACCAACTAAAGGACTAAAAGTCACTAGTCAATACCTCTAAGAGAGGTTATGTATTTGTTTATAACCACTCATTATCCCCTAAATACAGTATAATCAGCTGATTGGTGTCCGGTAAAACTCATTACAGTACAGTAGTACTTAATGAAACCCCATTTGAATAAGCTGGTGGCAAACAGCTGTTTTCTGGACTAAATCCTTGCGTGGGAAGTTCGTCAAAATAACGCAGTGTGGCGTAATTGAATATTATCTTCTTTATCTATGTTTTGCCTCCTGGATTGATAAAGAGTAATAATGATAATAGGTTAAATACCTTAATTTACGTCTTCAATCCAAATTAGTATTTTATGATTACTATAGTTTCGGGGCTAACAGCTCCATTGTCAAATCTTCTTGTCTTGTTAAATTACTGTGAATAGTATTGGTCATAGTTGAAGATCACATGTAGACATACACTCACACACGAAACATTAATATATACAAAGTGTACCGGTCCGTACAACCACTACGATAATAACTTTTGTTTAGGCCGGCAAAAATAAAAATTTCAATGTTACTTGTAGATATTAATGTTTCGTTTGTGAGTGTATGTCTCCATGTGATCTTCAACTATGACCAATGCTAATTGAAAACGACAAGAAGATTTGACAATGGAGCTGTTAGCCCCGAAACTATAGTAATCATAAAAGACTACTTTAGATTGAAGACGTAAATTAAAGTTTTAACGTATTATTATTATAATCTTCTGACGATGTTAACTACTGATCAACTCTACATATGTACCTGATGTTGACGATGGGGTTTTAACAACAAAACATGTCCTGAATTCACATATTTTATTCAGCTGTGACGGGATTACGTAAGTAATTTAATCTTACAGAATATTATTATTGCTTAGTATTAATATTTCACCGTTCCAATGGAATATATTCAATGGTATGACTTCTAATAAGAACAACCTGTGAACAAAGGACGTAATAAGTCACAATTTCCCAAGAAAATAGCAAATTAATCATTAATTATATAATCAATGTTTCCAC